CAGGAATCCCGCCGCCATTCGATATGCCTCCGCCGGGATACGCCGGAGAACCGACGCCGTTCTATATGCCAGAAGCTGATCCATATTATCAAAGTTATGAACCCACGCAGGACAACCAGTGGGGTAATGATCCGGTAAAAGAGCAGCATTAAATTGTATCTGAAAAGTTATCTAATATTAGAAAATACTATTTTATATATATTAGAAGATGGTCTACTTTACGCTAGAAAATATTCGTAAAAATATAGTTTTTTTTATCTTTTTTTATCATAGACATGGCAGCCGACAAATCTGGCAATCCCAATGACCGAAGGTGAAGATGATAAAGATATGGGACCTAAGACCATACCTACTATGGTTCCACCAACATCCATTCCCCCTTTGATGCAGCCGCGCGATCAGCGAGATCGGGAACGAGACAGGGACAGGGATAGAGATCGAGAATTGGATTCTATGGGCAGAGACAGAGAGAGGGACAAGGATAGAGATCGTGATCGCGATAGAGAGAAAGATTCAATGATGAGGGACCGTGATAGAGACAGAGACTCAATGACGCGAGATGAGGATCGAGAACGTGATAGGTCCAGATCCCAGTATCGTCATAAAGATCGGTAAACTCTTCTTTTCTAGAATTTTAAATCTATTATGTGTTGTAAAACAATGCGATATCTTAATGTTTGTCGATTTGATGATTTTCAGGCATCGGCATCGATCGAGGTCGCGGTCTCGTAGACACAAATCTAGATCACGAAGTCCGAGCCGACGTAAGAAGAAATCCAGACGCTCGGATAGGGAACGTTCTAAGGAAGAAAGCGAATAAATATGTGTATACATGTAATCTTGTGTTAATTTACAATGTCACTTACAGAATGCATTACATTAGAATTAAGTAATCATTTATCATAAAATGAAATAATATTTCAACTATTGTCACAGAAAATACAAGCATCAGTACAATCGTGCGAAGCTAATTATAAGATAAGCAGAAAAATATGTACAACCGCTCGCAAAAGTGTTACAAATGATAATTTTTGACACAGATAAGTTATTAATGGAAACAATAAAATTAACTGTTGAACTTGTAGATTGAAGATTGCAGATTCAAAAGATAGATTTTGACGCCTCGCCTTGTAGAAGAATCATAAGATATTTTCTTATTGCATTTTTACACTCGAATTTTTATATGACTAGTCTGTGAAGTAAGAACTATAATTGTAATATAGAGTTGCATTTTCGACAAATTTTTATATTTTGTCAATCTCAAGATTACAATTTGTAAAACATGATAATTAAATTTTATTTTAATTTTGAAAACTGGAGTGAAATATATATATTTAAATCATTCAAAAAATATAAATATAAAGAGTGAGATTATATTCATATAACGAAGAATTTTGATAGAAATTAGAAATTCTCTATTCGATACCAACCAATCGATAGGTCTGCCAACTTTATTCTACTGCGCATACGCGACATTTGTCCGTTTAACACAAAAACGATCTGGAACTCGCGACAAATAAGCTGGTATGTTATTTTCTGTAATATATAATTATACATATATATATGATTTTACAATATTATTATATCATAATACATACGATAACGAAGTATTTAATTTTTATTTGTGATCGTAATCTGTGTCTTGAAAATATTAATTAATTCATCATATGGAAACGATAAAACGCAAATGCAAAGGATTTAGGTTATATCTCTACATGTGTATAAAAAATAGTCGTATTTATTTACAATAGAAATTTAAAAAATATTTATTAAAAATATTTACAGCATATGCAAATCTTTAATCGCTTACAGAAATAAAAATTGTAGAATATATTAATACTAGGATATTTGTTTTCATATAATCATGTAAATGGTATGTTATTTTCCGTAATATATAATTATACATATATATATGATTTTACAATATTATTATATCATAATACATACGATAACGAAGTATTTAATTTTTATTTGTGATCGTAATCTGTGTCTTGAAAATATTAATTAATTCATCATATGGAAACGATAAAACGCAAATGCAAAGGATTTAGGTTATATCTCTACATGTGTATAAAAAATAGTCGTATTTCTTGCAAAAGTATTAATTTTTTTTGAAGCAAACTTATTTATTTATTATGAAACATCAAATTAAATGTAAAATATGTCGCGGATAGGAATCGATATTCTTAGAATTTAATCTTCTCAGAATGTCTTGAAATTAACGACCTCCAAATAATAAACAATAATTTTTTTTAAGATTCTGCCGTTACATCTTTTGAGTCGAAGATGCCAAAGTCAAAAGAATATGTGTCTGATAGCGATGATAGCAGCGAGGAGGTATATTATTTTCAAAAACTGCACTTTATAAAAGTTTTGTAATTCTTGTTCCGTGCTTAAATTATACATTTTTTTTTGCAGGAAGTACAGTCAAAGAAAAAGAAACGACAGGATGAAGACGAGAAACCAGTAACAAAAAAGCCGAAAAAAGAAGAAGAAGAAACTATCTGGGATTTGGGAAATAATCGTCAAGTGAATGTCAGGGATTTCAGAGGCAAATATTACGTAGATATCCGAGAAATGTATTATGACAAAGAGGGCGATTTGAAACCTGGCAAAAAAGGTAATACAAAGTTTCTTTACAAAATTAATAAGATTTTAAACTCTAATTTCATAATCAATTAGAAAAAAATGTTGCAAACATTAAAATATTTTAATATCCAATTTCTATGTTATCTTGATATTTTTTATAGGAATATGCTTAACCATGCAACAATGGCGAAAATTTATGAATGTTGTGGAAGAGGTAGATAAAGTGGCAAAATCAAAGTGTTAAGAGTTCTCTTTTCCTTATATCTAAAATGTTTCTTTTATATTCATGATTTTTCTGAGATATGTTAAAATTTTGAAAAAATAAATAATTGTACATTTTTTTATGTATCAAATTACACATAGATGATAGAGTAAAACTACATAAAATGTAATACTATTTAAAAAATGTAACTGTGTTTAAGAAAAAATAACATTTACTGCTGGTTTGTAAAAAATAAATAAAATATTTTCTTTTATATTCAGATTTATAAAAAAAATAGGTGATAAGATTTAAAAAAATTTTAGTAACATTGTATATTAAAAGCTTGAAAAGTTTCATAAATTCTCTGAAATTATAATATTTAGTTTTTATATCATATTTTGATATATTTTTCCATTTCATATAGTATGCTGTATATTTTTTACCATAGAAATATGGCTCTATGTCTTCTATGTATAAAGGAAAAATCGCCCGCTTCTCTTTTTTTTTTTTTAATTAATATTGTGTGCACATGTATGTATACATATACATACTAATTTAAACATTAATATAAAGTATTAACATACTATATATAAGATTTATATAGTATCATAATTAAAGTAAAAAATAAAAATCAATTAATATTATCAATTAGAGATATAGTCTAGATAATATAGATTGTTTTGAGCATGTCATATATAGATACTACTATTAATACTATCATTTTTCTTCATATATATAATACACAAAGTATTTATATTGTGTATTATATATTTACAGACTGTCAGTGTAATAAAATACTCTAATATTATATACAGTTGTATAAAAATAGAAAAAAATTAGCGATAGTATTGCATACAAAGGAGGACAATGTTCATAACATTTGTCAATATACATGTACATTAAAAGAGAGCACTTATTCAGGTCCATGAACTACACATAGGAGTTCATTTAGATGAACATCATCCAAATTATTGAGTAATATTTGTGGATCAGTCGTGCATGGCTTCTTCTCAATCTTAAGAAAAAAAAAAAATTTTTTTACGTTTATAGGATTGTATTTTATAACAGTTAAAGGCATAAATATTTTTACAAATTAATATATACCTGTTTCGTTTCTCTCGTTTCTGACACTTTTCTCTTTCGGCTTTTAGTAATATCTGAGAAATAGTAAAACATTTATTTAATATTAATTTCTTTAGTGAAGAATTATGTTTTTACAATTTTACCTTTTTCTTGATGCTTTTGCTGTTTTTTCTTTGAATCAGATTGCGTATCATTATCATTTTTATTTGCTGTAATAGTCTTGATAATCGTCTTCTTTATTTTACCTCTTGACGACTCCTCTACAGGGGATGATGTAGCTAAAGGTTTTACAATATTATCTTTTAAAGTAAACGCATCTTTAACTGTCTTACAAACTTTTACATTCTTAACGGGTAATTTCTTATTCACTACCCGTTTTCTAGATTTCGGCGATAGATTAAATATTTCTTCAAACTCTGTGACTTTCATTATTTTAATGCATTCAACGGCATTCGGATCCGAAAGATCGGCGTAATTGATCTCGATCTGCAACTCGTGGCTACTGAATCTTCTTCTTCTTTTTCTCACTGGCATACTATCGTCGTATATAAAGTGATACTCGGCTTTATAATTATGAATATCGATTGCCTGTGATTCATTATTAGCTCGGTTTTCAGATTCTTTCAGTTCCTCATGTTGTCTTTCAGTTTGGTTTTCATCATTATGTTCATTTTTGCATGCTGGCACTAATTGCAGACTTTGAAGAACGGTCGATAATTCCTGTTTGGGAGTCTCGGTATTTGCTCTCTTGCTTTGAATTTCAACAAGGTTTGGAGCTTCAGCGATTATCTTATTTTTGTTATTTTTCGCGTTTGTGGTCAAAGACGTTTTATGATCATTCTCCTCGTCGCTAAATAAGTCACGTTTCACTTGATCCACTTTGTGTCTTAATATCTTGTTACATTCGGACTTGTCAACGTGGTTTGAAAACTGTCTCAGCAGTTTCGCCTTATCTTCCGTTTGATCGCATATTTTCGGTTTTGTTTTATCCATAACTTCTTTTACAGTGATAAGTTTTTCATTAGGATTTATTTCTTTCTCCGACATTTTTGCATGCATATTATTATTATCTTTTAATATCTCTTCTTTGATAATATTATCCTTCATGTCACAGATTTTTTCCACTGCATTTATCTTAGCATCTGATTTTTCCTTCGTATACTCTTGATCTTTCGACAAAAAAGTTTTATGCAATTGTATGGGTTCTTTTTTATCAGAATTTTCTATTAAATTTTCAAGTAACGGTGCATTACAGATATTATTTTTGTGTGATTGTCTCATTGTGTCATTATTGGATAACAGTTCGTTACTGTTTTTCCCATAATTCGTTATGCCAGAATCTGTATTTTTCGATGAGGAAGCTCGGTTCTTTGTCTCTTCTTCATTATCGCAACATTTATTCACGAGATCTCGATTTTGCATCGGCGGTAAGCACTTTTTTCGCGTATTTATTGTCGAATTTTCCTGCAGATTATCCGGAGCTTTTGAGTCTTTACTAACATTTTTGTTAATGCCCATTTTATGAGAATACTTTACTGTTGATGTACCTCGTTGTCCTTTACCAAATTGAGTACTCTTCTTTAGACCGTTGGAAGAGATTAAAATGCGCTTATATGTATGTTTCGCTTTGCTAGCAAGATTCAATTTTGGATTATCTTTAATCTTTGCGATCATACGTTGTCGTTTTTCTTCTAGCTGTTGCCTATGCATGAGCTTATCGTTTATAGACACGCTTTGTCCGTGCTCGGATCGGTATTTGTCCAGTTGTTTCTCGATGACAGATAATCCTGGCTGAATAAGTTGCACACTTATTATCTTTGGCTTTGGTCTCGGTTTGTTTAAAATTTGAATTTTATTGCTATTCTTTGGCTTTTTGAGATTGTTGGATCTTAATAGTTTTTCATCTTCCGTCATAATCGCCGATATCTTTGTCGACAAATTAGTCAGAGATTCCACACCACTTTTCGAACTGCTGGGCGTTTCTGAAATATTGGCTTCATTTAAGAGGGTCTCGTCCTTAGCGGGGGTTTCCTTCAACGTTGCTTCTATTTGATCGTCAGTTTTCGCAATCGCGAACATTTTCTTCGGCGAGGACTCCGGTTCGAATAAAACGTTATCCGATCTTTTACACGTTATATCGCTCGGTACATTCGCCGATGCGTGATTTGCATCTTTCGATACGTTGATGCCCTTTTCCGCGGAATTACTACTGGTGTCTGTGCTCATTTTACTTGGCACTTTGTCGCATTTTCCGTTCGGCGAACAAGTTGCCGATGTATCCGTGTTCGAATTAGTGGACGTAGACGACGACGAAGACGAGGACGACGATGACGACGAGGATGATGATGACGATGATGAAGTATCAGATGACGAGGAATTATTATTCGCCACAGAATCGTTGTGAGAATCGGCGACATAATTATCATCGATTATTGTTTCGCGATATTCATTTATACTTTTATATATATGGCGATCTCCGAGAACAGGACTACCGAGTTCCACTGCGCCCGCTCGATCTTTGGATGCGATTTTGAGCTCCTTGATAGCCTCCTCCCTTGGTAAATTTTCTTTAATCACTTCAAATTGCGTTATCTCCAGTTTAGAGGCAGCACACGTCTGATAAGTATTACCAGAAGTGAGACTATCATGCGTCGAATGTAACGATATGTGCGACGAAGATAGAATGGGTGACTCTTGTATATTTTTAGATTTCGATAGATCGGAATCTTGTTGAATTTGCTCAGAGGTGGGTTTGTAGTACGGAGAATTATACTCTCCCCTTTTTATGATATCCCTGGTCGTCTCCTCTTTCGGAGTTATAGCCACGCCTGGAGTTATTGGGAATTCCGGTGTAGTGATAAAACTGCTACGTACTTTAATAGAATCTTCGCTGATCTTGATGAACGGTGTAATGACATTGCTACTGGGACTTAGCACTCTCGGTGTCGGTGGAGGGCCGGATATATTGTCAAATTTTCTAGGCGTCTCCAAGCTAATCATGTCAGGCGGCATCTGTAAGATGTGCTGCGTACTGTCCGCGGACAAAATTTTCGACATTTCGGATATCTGCGAACTGATTTGAGCGTTCTTTTCATTTTCATTATCGGATTTTCTTAAATTAGTTGTTATTGTCTTCAATTGTGCGTATTTTTTCACCGGTTTCTTCTCACTTACCGTATTACTGTTGGATGCATTTGTACTAGAATCCACTTTTGTCGATGTCTCGCGAATATCGGCCGCTCGAAAAATTTTGTCGGGCTTATTCGTATTGGAATCTGCAGCGCTAACAACAACTTTTGCTACATTTTCTTTCTCATTATTACGCGGCTCTGTTACGGCGGCAGCGCGAAGCGTCTTCTCCGTTATTGCAATTTCCACATTTTCTCGAAGATCTTCCTCTTCTGGTTCATCGATATCTCCGATCTCGTTAGTCTTTTCGTTTACTTCCGGTTTATTGCGGGTTTTCCGCCTGTTTTTGCTCTTTGGCGATCGTGATTTATACTTAGTCCTTTTACGTATTGCACCTTCCTTGTCGATGGAATCTCGTCTCCTCTTCGCGGTCGTTTGAATTTCAGTCTCATCCTTCTTATTCAATTGTACACTTTTACGTAAATCAGCATCCCAACTTTCCACTGGTGCTTTAGATGGCTTGTTCTGAACGGTTCTATCCTCGAAGGACGAGCAGGACGCGCTGGTACTACCGTGCGGAGATACTTCGCCTATGATGACACCAACACCGTTACACTTGTCCCAACCGCCCATAAGTTTGGGCGCGGGACTTCTAGTGGCTATGGGAATCCTATAAGAAGACTGACAGACTTTTACCGGACTCTTCTGCTTCTGAGCAGGAGTATTGGAGAGTGACGGCGATCTAAATAATGAAGTCCTGCAAACGGATTTCAAACGCTTTGCCGACGCAGACGAAAGCTGAACGTTTCCGTTCCCGTTTGCTTTCCTATCGGAACCTATCGTTTTTATAGGTGTGCTAAAATCGAGCGCTCTTACGTGACCACTTCGTTTGCGCGGCGTGGATAAGCTTAATCTATGATTCTTAGATCTACTTTGTAACAGAGACTTTGGCGTGCGTTTGGTAATAATATCAGTGTTTTTAGGCAAGTGTTGCTCGATGTTGATTTTGTTACTCGCTGTTTTCTCTATGGATGCTATATCGATGTCTGAGAGATTATGACTCTGGCTCATTTTGCTACAATTAAACTTCAAATACGGAGAAAGTCCGCTCTCCGACAGACTGATATTTTCTTCCAAATTGATCGTAGGCAGGTTAGCGCTGTCCAATAATGTTTTCGCGTTGGCTTCGTTGCCGTAAAGCGTTATCGATTCGCCACCGATCTTATCAGTTTGCGCCAGTTCTACCGGATGATCTAATACCTGTTGATTAGCATCGATAGGTACCGTCGCATCAGCTTCGTGTACGATTTTCGATCGTTTGTTCGCTTTGTTGTTTTTTCTGGTCGATCGGAATAATCCCGCTTGGTTTGCAGGATTATTTGGTTCTTCCATCACGGTCGGTAGCTTTTTGATCGGTACTTGGTGCGCTACGTTTACTGTCTTCAGGTATAAAGTTTCCATGGGTTTCTCAATCGGAAGAAAACGCGAAGTTGATTTAATAGTCGACGAGCGACTTATCAAAAGATTATCCACCTCGTCTTTCGAACATACTATTAATGTCGGCATCGTCATAATCTCGTGTTCCGTTATGAACTGATTGTTACTGATCGTTGCTTGATCGTGTTTATGTTTTGTTCTTGATCTTGGTCGTTTGACTGTGGACTTTTTAACTTTAGGTTGTACGTTATTATTCGCGGATAATATAACATTGTTCGTTTTCTGAACATCTACCGATGCTAGAGGATACTTTAGAAATGCATCGTTTCTATTTACCGTAGATATCGTCGCTTGCGTTTTCTGTTCGTTATTATCATTTGTGATCAACGGTTCTTTCGCATGATCAAGAATCTTTTTATCATCGTCAGATGTGTTATTAATAATATTTATAATACTCAACACTGCAGCTGCATTTTGATCCTCCAAAGCACTTTGTTCCTTCTCTTGATCTTTTGCTTTATCGACTTCATCCTCGATTCTATTATATTGCTGTCTAGAAGAACTGCGAAGTCTTTGTTTTAAAGGCACCTCTACCGTATTGGTCTCTGTGGATATTCTAGTGTCCATTATCATTGGTTCTGGTGAACTAACATTGCCTAAAACTGTTTCTGCTTGTTTCTCTTGCACTCTGAAAACATTAAAATATTTCAAGAATATTTACAATTTGTAATAATATATCTAGAAGACAAGAATAAATTACATATACATATACATACTCATTAAGAGATCTTGGACTTAGCTTCCCTTCACCATCGTCCTCTGGACTTGTATCAGTCTCGATGTCTCGTCCAATAATTTCATCGAGAAATTTTTCAAACACAGGATCGGATTCTGTTGCTTCAACAATCGATTTAATAGCATTATTTAATTCAGACATAATCGAAGTGTTCCCCTCGCCAACTACTGATTCATTCAAATTGTCATCCTTCAAAGATAAATCTGTAGGAATGATTGCTTTGTTGATATTCTCCGCAATACATTCTTGTAATTCTGTACGATTCAAGATTTCTTTTGTTAATATCTGGAATGTAAGTTTTTATTTTGCAGCATTCATGTGTGAATAGAAACCGAAACGAAATATAAATAGTAAAAATTGATATCATTTAGAGACTTACGCTGAGATTCTCAATAGGCTCGTCATTAGATTCGGATTCTGATTCGGGTATCTCGTAAGGAGCAGTTTGAACTTCTGTACTGGAGAAAGTCAACAATTCTTCTGTACTTGTGGCTGCAGTATATCGTTCAGGCGCTATTCTAATTGTAGTACTTTCCTCCTTTTTTTTATCATCAATATCAACCATTTCGCAGCTTCGTATACTCGAGACATCATCTTATAAGAAAATAAACAAAGATAAATCGGTTTCGTCTATCTATCGATTTACATAACAGTTTATTGTAATTACCTGAACTTAAACGAATACTATTGTTTCTGTTACGTATAGTAATATTATTTATATTATTTTTATTATCACTATTATTTTGTGTGTGAGATTCTTGTGCCACATTATCATCCCTTTTCTCGATTGTATGAATATTACTGCATTCTGCCTGGTTTAATAGATCAACATTCCCAGGCAAGCTCTCTAAAGGAGTTGTATCGATATTGTGGCAACTTGCTGCTTCAAGATATTGTAATCAATGTTTTATGTTATATTCATTATGAATAAATAAAAAAGATAAATAAACATACGCGGACTTGTTATGACATCAGATTGTTGTGTCGGATTTAATTGGGATTTAATAATGCGTTTAATCCGTTCGCTATTATGCCTTTTACGTATATTGTTTGCAGCAATAGGTGAACCATTCGATGTTTGTGTGTTACTCTATTAAAAAAATTTTACATAATTAAATTAAATACATGTTTCTCTTAATTCATGTTTGATTATAAATTATATTTACAATGACAATTTCTACATATAATATTTTCCAGTTAATAGCACAAATAACTAAAGTTAAGTCTAGTATCTCATTTATTGTTAATATAAAAGACTATATCCAGAACATTGAGCAGATATTGATCAAGATAATATATAAGTTACCTGTGAAGGTACATTTATATTTACAACAAATCGTTGGCCACGTGGCTCTTCTACAAGGAATTTGAGCTGCTCCATCAGATCTCCACAATGCTTCAACTGCTCGCAATCTGTGGCTTTGCTCAACCGATCTTGAACTGTGATAAATAGCATATATTAGATCAAATCAATATCTACATAATATCTATATGATTTAAATTCTATAGTTAAATCTATTTATTATAATTGTTATTGCTATTTTAATATATATTAAAATGAATAATTGACAGGGACTTACTCATGGCGCTAATGGCAGAAAATTTTTCAACAATATCCATCAATGTTAAACCATTAACTCTGGTATTAAATCTCCTTCCACAAGAAAGTACTGTACGGCATTCTTGTAAATGTGGAGATGTTTCTAAAAACATCTTGGCTGCTTCAGTGCATTTTTGATCTTCCAAATAACCTACAAGTAAAAAATACATGGCATAAATTTTTAACTCAACTGGATTGCATGGTATTATCAATCGCGCCAATAAAAGGGCAATACAAAATTCATATAAAAATATCTCTAAAATATATAGTTGACAAGAGAGATTTTCTTTAATTTTATATTCTCTATATTTTGTTTTTCTTTCATCTTTCTCTATTCAAAACATAGATAGAGAAACATTTATATAGAAAATGTAGCTGAAACAAATAAACTGAAAAAAACATTCATTGACCTGCTATTGAAAAAAAATCTTATTTATTTATATAATTATATAATTTATATTTAACATAAGTATAGCGCAGTGTTATATGTACTAGAATAAAAAATGCTTTATTGTAGCTTACTTTCACATTAGATATAAATATATAAAGTTATCAATTGTAAAAATTTTTTTTTTTTACGCAGTATACAAAAAAATAGTTATATTAATCATGAATCACAACAACCATCATATATATTATCGACAAAGAGGATGCAAAGCTTTGTGACAAAGCTTTGCAGAGAAACGATTATGGCGTTCCCGCGGAAAAAAGGTTACGCGTTTGTTTTAATTACAAGAATAATCTTACCGAGAACTAATCGAGCTATTTCAGACGGCAATAATGCTTCCATAGTCACTTCGAAATATTTCGTAATTATTTTTGCACATCGAAATACTCGTTGGCTGCAGCTTGAGACGTATAATGTTTCGAACGCGTCTATTACGTCCCAAGACAGTGGGCAATAAATGGCAAACATTTGTAATGCATTGCTACCAACGCTGTAGTTTCGATAAATATTATGAAGATCTTTTTTAAAGAGAAATGTGATTTTATTAAATCATCACATTTGTTTCATTATATAAAAAATCGCTTCAGTCTAAATCTGTGCGCGGTGGAACCATTGTTTTGTCGCGATGTTATCACAATTAGCTCTTATTTATTAATTATATATATTTGTAAATTTCGCATTCGTTGTTTTTTTATCGTGTTCACATTGGAGATTTATCTTGTTTCATTACAAAAATATGGGATTGAATGGAAATGCAAAAAAAGATCGACAACTAAAACTCGAGAAAAATAACCTCTCATTTTTTAAACTTATATTTCGCGGTTATATTCAAATTTTCTATCAACAACATCGCCATTTTACAATTGGCATTATCTGCGGATTATCATGAAAGACTAAAGCCCGTATCAGACTATGAATTGAAAATTGAAAATTGGAATTTGACTAATCAGAAGAAAAAGAACTAAAATTTCTTTGTCTTGATTGGTCAAATTTCAATCTTGGAACTTTAACCTCAATCTTCAATGTGTAATCTGATACGGGCTTTATGGTTTCCTTACTATATATTGTTTATATAGTTTACGGTAACAAATCATAACAAAGTCTTCGTATATACACAAGCCGGAGAAAATATCAGAAATTGAAGTATCTCTGTTAAGTGTTTCTCTTAATGTTGCAATTTTCTTTCTTTGACGTCTGTTTCAAGGTACATTGTTGTAATCTTTACAATGTTATCTATATAGATTATAATTATATTTTCCGCATTATGCTGCCATGTTTCTGAGTTATTATTGCAAGTTAAATTCCGTTAACATTTATATCTATTGGCTATAAATAAACATAAAGAGGGCTTTCTCTGCTTCTAATAAATCTTTATATAATTTTCTACAATTTTAGTCAATATGTAAAAGAAAAAGAAAGAAATTGACAATAATATTCACAGATTAATTGATGTAGAAACCTCTTATCATTCTGTTTTATGTACATAATTAAAAAAATTCAAATAAAAGAATTTTACAATTGAGTTAAGTAGATGTGAATAATTATTGGCTAGATTTGATCGTTGTGTTATATAATAAATAATTCATTCATTAAACTGCATTTACTCATTTTAAACTGCAACATACACAGATTACGATTAAATCAATGTTAAAATAACTTGTAATCATAATATATCCTTTTTTTTCATAGATACTTGAAAGATGGGTTGGATATTAGAGGTAGCCAAGATGTGTCTGTATATATCGTTCCCTGTGGGAATATTTCATTATGTCAATCAGCCAGCTTATTTTGATAAACATGTGATAAAGGCTAAAGAAAAACACTACCCACCGGAGAGTAGAAAAGCAAGTGAGGAAATGGAAAACTTTATTCGCGATTTCAATGCTAACATTGAAAAGGAACGTTTGGAAGCTATGGAAAGACAATATGCAAGCAGATGAGGAGATAATATTATTATAATGTTTTTAATTATATAATATCATATATATATATATTGTATAGAAGGGAATACCTTAGTGAAGTTAATAATATGACATAAAAATATTAATAAACTATTTATAATCCTGATATCTTTTTATATCTAAAAAAGAAATTTGTGTAAAGATTTAAATTATTTGAAAATCTGTATTAATCATCTTCAAGCTTGTTTTTTTTTATATCTCACTTGTTGAAAATGTTGAAATTTTTTATCTTTTCCAAAATAGTTTGTAATACATGTTAGAAATGTGCATAGAATCTTTTTTTTTTTTAATTATGTAAAAATATTTGAGATATACTTGGACACAACAAAAATATATGTATATTATTCTATAAAAAAAGGAGATAATTATTTTATTTTACATTTCGGTTTTCAAGAAAACTCATTTATATATTTTTTAGTATTTTTTTAATAAATATATTTTATTGTCAAGTGAAAATTTATGAGATTGTTACAGTTTTAAAATACAAGAATAGATCTAGATGACGTAAATAATTGAAAAGATGGCATGGGACATCTTCTGATCTTTTCTGTCTTTTCTACAATCAGAGAGAAGCCTGTAAGTGAAAATTACAAAAGTGAGGAAATTCATTAGAGTATCTACAATTTCATTTGTCAAAATCTAGTAAATCTGTTCACTTTTGTAATTTTCACCTCGTTTCAAGAACCGTAAGTACCGGTCCACAATAGGTGATTTAAGCCCTAAGCCTTAAGAAATTGACTAATCACAGTCGAGTATTCTCTTCATACTTGATTGTGATTGGTCAATTTCTTAAGGCTTAGGGCTTAAATCACCTATTGTGGACCGGTACTTACGGTTCTTGAAACGAGGTGAAAATTACAAAAGTGAACAGATTTACTAGATTTTGACAAATGAGATTGTAGATACTCTAGTGAATTTCCTCATTTACAAAAATGGATGAATTTATTAGGTTTGGGCCAATGAAATTATAAATTTTCTAGTAAATTC